TTAATCACTTCATTAACCATATTGTTTGCATTGAGCATAAATAAACCCTGTCTTATGCTGTATTCATTACCGACTTAATTAGGAATTTACAAGTTCTAAGTACTCTACTTTGAACTCTGTCGTGCCCATCCCAAGCTCGGATGAGAAAGGAGTGAGTGTCGTGGCGAGGTCTCCGTAAAACTTCACCTGTGCCTCATGGTATTTCCATCATCGAACATTATACCGGCTCAGCTGTCGCTCAGTTACCAAAGGCCAGGCCGCGCAGGCTGTTGGGAATTTGAGACAGATCCGAACAGTCCGTGATTAGAATCTGCTTCTGGAAGGAGGAATTTGAGAAATGGAACGGCAGGCAAATTGGATTGGCCAGTGGCGTTCTGTCTGAATTATCCCGAACCGCTGTGAATAAGGCAGACCTGAATCTAAGGACTAACATGTTGGTGTTAAAATCTGTTTTCATCCACATGTTCGTCTATGGCCATGAGTCACAGACCCTGACGGAAAACCTTGGATCCAGGTACAATCGGCAGAAACCGGCTTTTGAGATGAATGGCTGGGTTAATGCTCCGACATGATCCGCAGCACAGATATCCGAGAAAACCGAAGTTCTCAAGATTGAGAAGTCACAGATGCGATGGTGCGGGTGAATGCTTCTCGAAAGAATGGTGAAACAGGTGAAACTTGTTCAACCGGACGGCCGAAGACACCGTGGACAGCCAAGAATATCTAGGGAAAGTGTCTCAACACACTGTGGTCCAGGCTCGAAGCGTCCCGTGCCCAAGTTCAAACAATGGCACAGGAACCGGAAAGTTGGAGACAGTCTAACGTTTCTGACTCCCAGATCCAACAAGAAAAGCGGCCATTAAAACTGACTGACTGACAAGTTAAAAGTACCGTTTATGTACTTAATTTATTAGTACAAATTGCGGTAATGAGGCTAAACTCTCTATGATTAAGTCAATCACCGTCTTCGACCAGCTTGATGATAAAATTCGGGTTCAACACGTTCGGTTCTGCATCCGCATCATTCCCGCTGTCGTTGTCGTTAGCGCCAAGGATCAAGAACCGGTGCAGTCGAGTTACCTCGCTAGCTATGGACGTTTGTCCGCCAACGCAGGATATCTGAAACA